TTCATTTAATTCTCACCATTATATGCTGCAGAGAGATTTTCATAATATCTAAAAATGCATAAAACAAAAGTCATCTCATTTACTGAATATCACCTGCATTCACAATACAGCATAAACACTTCAGTATGAACTCCTTTATAAATCAACAAAAAGGGGAAAGACAAAACTAACTCCATCTCAGTTAAAAGGAAGATAATCTATGAAGACAAAACGTTAATTTCCATTGACAAATTTCAAAAGGTGACAAGACCACCTTCTTCCCAAATTAAAAATTAAAAATCATACAATCTACTGCCGTTGTTGCTGTGCCTCTCTCCTTGCCGCATCCTGGAGCAGCTGAGTGTCTACTTCATCTACAGGAAGTTGCACATAGCGCACTACTGATCCTCTGATGAAGCAATTCTTCACAGACAGCTAGAAGAAAGAGAAAGAATACTGATTGGAGCCTTATTGGAGAAAATGGCTAAATTGCTTATTCCTTTTTTAATAATATCACCAGACAATAACTCAAAGAGTAAGTCAGAAATACATCCAATTAAGGAAAATGTGTTTTTTTGTGACAGACAACAGATCTGCATCCCATACCTCATCCCAGCCCTTCAAGTTTGTTAAGTTTCAATAACATCTATATAGATCCCTGGCTACATTACAAGGAATTTTCAGTTTAAAATCTTGTTCATCATTATACAAATGAACCAGGTCTAGCATCTCCCTCAGCAAGTTTGTTTTTACTTGACTTGAAAAATAAAAGTAAGTCGAAATCTTTCTTGACATCTGACAGGCAAACAAAACAGATTTCTTATATTTCCCAAAGAAGAACAGAAAAAACAATGTGTAAAACAATCATCTTTATAATATGACAACAAAATGGAGTATATGAGGACAAGCTTAAATATATGATAAATAAAATATAAAATAACATAAAGAAAACATAAAATATTTTAAATAAAACCTCAAATAATGTACTATACACTGCTTAACACAATTCAACATCAGGCAAAGTTTACAAATAAAAAAATTGGTTTTATTGCCACCACAAATCATTCTCCAAAGCTGATGAAGGACACAAACAAGGTATGAGTTCCTAATTAAATTATTCTGTGAACTTGATGGGTGATAAAAATAAATTAAAAAGTAGAAAGTCACTTCTAAGACATAAAACAGGTATTTCATATCATTTAGAAATCCCACATCTGAAAAGTTCTAGCTAACCGGTACTTTCTGTGGTACTCTTTCAGAAAAGGACCAAAACTAGTGATAGAAAAATCAACATTAGTATCACATAAAGAAACTAAAATGAACAATAAATTGATCAGTGCAAGTGAAAGATAATGACATATTCAGTTATCAAAGAGATTCATCATAGTGCATGCAGGCTAAGAGAGGTATATACCCAATATACCCAACATATCCCAATATATCTCTTCAATACTTCACATACTGGGAATGCTGAGGGTGGTCATCCATTTCCAATGATAAGCTTAACTTTTCCTCAAATATACAAGTAATCTAACTAGCAATAGCTCCATAGATTTTGAGATATGCAGATGAAGGAACTGGCATTACAAAGAAGAGCAGTCTGCCCTCGCTTGCTGACCTACTGAAGACTATCTAGTTTAATTTTTTTTGCAATTTTAGCACACAGGTCTCACTATCACATTACTGTGTCCTATTCTGGACAATTATCATTTCTCTAATTCATATAATCATCAGATAAGGTCAGATGGGTCTACTAATTGGCCATCTAAGGGTAAACAAAATTCACAAACTACAGTGGACAGTGCAATTACAGATTAGCCAGGAAAAGGTACTTTTATTTAAACTTAAACCTAATGATTTCATGAAACTGACCCCAACACTAAATGGGATTCTAATCAATCCTCAACTCATGTCAACAAATAGACACAAGTCCTTCCAGATTCTCAAAAAAATAATTGAAACGGATATGACACTGAAAAAAAACACTACTATATTAATAAAAAGAAAAAAAGACAAATCACAAAAAAACATTGTCAGTGTGCACTCACCATGTGTGGGTATTTCTCAGTATCTGTGACGTTGATGTCTGTGAGTTTGATGTTTAGATACTGGTCTACTGAATGCAGAGTCCCACAGATACTGCAATATCAAAAATCAAAATAGATCTCTACTGCAAAATCATTCCTCAAATTATTCATCTCTATATCTAATTTCAATCATATTGTTTTGATTAAGTCTTATCACAAGCAACCTATTAGCTAAAAATGGCTCTGACAATTTATATTCATAAGAACAGAGACAAATACATACCTGAGATCATTCTTAAGCTCTACCACTACATCCTTCCCAATGAGGGACTTAAAGAAAGAGTAGAACAGCTGTAAAAGTAAAACAAAAACAAAAATGAATAAACAGACATATATATAAACAGTCAATATCAGTCATGCTACATCACAAACAGCTGATAGGAAGTCTCTCAGATATACAGATAAAACATTAAAATTAATCAGATATCTAACAGGTCTAAGAAATTATATGAATGAAAAGTAAATAGTTAATAAAAAAAAAGTATTTTTATAATGTAATCATACATGAGAAGTGGAGGAAAAAAATCAGATCTATAGAAATCACTTCATACCACTTAAGAAATCAAAGCAATTCTTTCCTTTAAGTGTTTTATACCCATTGCACAATATTCAAATATGTTATGCTGGGGAGATATATACATAAAGTTCATTTAGTTGAATTTGTAGTTTGAGCCTTTGTTCACACTGAGAACCTAATTTTCAAACAATTGTGCTCTTGTTCATTCACATTACATGATGATCATATACAATCTTTCTCTCAAGATAATACATGCAATACACCCCTGAAATAAACTCAGTATTTATTTACCAGTAGTCATTGTGCAGTAATTTTATTCAACACTATGATGTGATTTGAATAAATCTGCTATTAATATCCACCACAAGTTTTTTGTTCCTGTATAAGCATCCTCCTTCCTGTCCAACAAACTTTGGAGGTCCTCGGATAATTTGGGGTTTTGGGTGAAGGGGGGGAAGGTATAAATAATATATGTAGTTGGTCTCAGCATTATAGAGAAAATTCTAAAACAAAGAGATATAAAACATGTAAAATTAAGTTCTATGCAATAAACAAAGCTCTGGCCTCCCTGCACTGCACTCTAGTAATGATCAACACAGCTCCATCACACGTACTCTGCCAAAGCAAGACCTGTAGCCCCTGGTAGTTCATCATAAAATAAGGACCTATTCTAAGCTCAACCTTGCAAGTGTCAGTTTCTTGCCTTGTATTTAGTTGAACCATCTTGAATAGTGTGCCTCTCCCAGGCCTGAATACTGAAGGCATAATATCAATATATTTGGATCATAGAGAGTGTGAGGAATCCACCATCACCAAAATCATCTTAATCGGTTATGAAAATTCAGAAAAATCAACCACTTTTTCACGAACTGGACTTTTTTCCCCTCCTGCTATTTTTTTTCCCGGAGGACATTTCCCTTCATGTGTTTTTGATCTGGCGGACATTTCTCTACGTGTGAATTTGTCTTGTAAGCTCTAGTGTGCTTCTATTCTTAAAAGCCAATAGCGTGGTGAAGAAGCTAATCCACAACATAGAGAATAAATGATTAATCCCATTTAAATGCAAAACTACGAAGAGAAACCATCAGAATTGAATCACACTTATTCAACACTTATTTGACTTAATTCCTGGACAAAAACCTTATAATCTATTAATACAGCACACCAACGGCATCCCAATGACCTGTTTCTATGACCTACGAGGCTAAATTCATCACAATAAACACAAATTCCTACCATTTTTCACCGGGACCGCGAGTTCGTTTGTTTTTGTTTTGGTTGAAAAACGTTGTTGCGGATTTCAGGGAGGGTGTGTATAAACGAAAATGTTTCTTTTTTAATGCTTTTCATCATTTAAGAGAGAAATTCAGGCATTTGTTTTTTCATTCAACTTATACATTTATAAATTTATTGAATTATTAAGGAGTATCAATGTAAGACACGAGGTTCTGTGCAAAGTGATATTACACACACACACACACACACACACACGTGTGTCTCTGTGTGTGTGTGTGTGTGTGTGTGTGTGTGTGTGTGTGTGTGTGTGTGTGTGTGTGTAATATCACTTTGCACAGAACCTCGTGTCTTACACGAGGTTATATATACCGTTTGGGTAAAGGGTCCGTCGACGTGAATGTCTGGCCGTACACTATATATATATATATATATATATATATATATATATATATATATATATATATATATATATATATATATATATATATATACATATATATATATATACATATAAATATATATATACATATATATATATATATATATATATATATATATATATATATATATATATATATATATATAAATATATATATATAAATATATAAATAAATATATATATATATATATATATATATATATATATATATATATATATATATAAATGTATATATATATATATATATATATATATATATATATATATATATATACATATATATATATACATGTAAATATATATATACATATATATATATATATATATATATATATATATATATATATATATATATATATATATATATATATATATATAATACACACACACAAATACATATGTGTGTGTATTTATATATGCATATATACACATAGATGTGTGTGTATATATATCTATATATATGCATATATACATATATATACACACAGATATGTACACACACAAACATACACACACACACACACACACACACACACACACACACACACACACACACACACACACACACGCACGCACGCACGCACGCACACACACACACACACACACACACACACACACACACACACACACACACACACACACACACACACACACACACACACACACACACACACACACACACACAGAGACACACGGACCCTTTACCCAAACGGTCCCTTAGGACTGGATGTAAACAATAACA